GCAAGTTATCATGGATAATATTTTGAGGTCTGTTAATACTTAATATAGACCTTTCCAGTGCCCGCTGGATCACTGTCAATTTTTATTTATTTGGAGACTGTGGTGTTTGATTCTTTGAAAACTAAGTGTGGAATAGTAGTTAAAGTGCTAGACCTGAAGTCGGGAGAAGTATAGGTTTAAAATCCAGCTTTGATACTAAGTAACTAGGTAACCATAGGCAAGTCAATCAGACTCTCAAGACAGCCTTTATCATGTATATATTATGCACCAGATAATTTTAAGTGACAGGGATACAAAGAAAGGAAAAAAAAACAGTCCCTGTTCTCAAGTAACTCCCCAGTCTAATGGGAGGAGATAATATGAAAATTACTATGAATTAATTGCTAGTTAATAATTAACAAGATATATGCAGGATAAATTGTGGGTAATCTCAGAGGGAAGGCACTAAGATTAAGGGAAGAAGGGCTTGCAAAACATAGACCTTTAGTTAAGACCTGAAGGAAGCCATGGAAGCTAAGAGGCAGAGATGAGGAGAAAGGGCATCCCAAGCCTGGAGGCTAGCCAGTGAAAATACCCAGAGTAAGGAAATTAGGGTGTTTTGTGAGAGGAACAGTAAGGAATCCAGTGTCACTGGATGTGGAGAGAAGTAAGGTATAAAAAGAATGGAAAGGGCTGGATTATGAAAGGCTTTAAAATACAAACAGGGTTTTTTATTTGATACTAAAGATAATTGAGGCACCAGAGTTTTTTGAATGGGTGTGTGTGAGAGAAAGAGAAAGAGAGAATGAGAGAGAGAGAGAGAGAGAGAGAGAGAGAGAGAGAGAGAGAGAGAGAAGAGAGACAGAGAGAGAGAGAGAGAGAGAGAGAGAGAGAGAGAGAGAGAGAAAGAGAGAGAGAGAGAAAGAGAAAGAGGAGAGAGAGAGAGAGAAAGAGAGAGAGAGAGAGAGAGAGAGAGAGAGAGAGAGAGAGAGAGAGAGAGAGAGAGAGAGAGAGAGAGGGACAGAGAGAAATGATCAGATGATCAGATAAGCACCTTAGAGACAGCAATTTGAGAGCTGAGTGGAGGACTGAGGCACAGAGACCCTCCAGCAGGCAACTGCCATAGTCTGGCCATGAGGTGATGAGGGCTTGCACCAAGCAGTGTCAGAGGAGAGAAGAAAGTTCATATAAGAGATGCCACAAAAGTAAAACTGGTAAGACTTGATAACTTAGTGATACCTTCCTATATTCTCCCAGTACCTAGTACCCATTCTGTTATCATCTCTATACACAACTCTCAGATTTGCTTGTCCAGCCCTAACCTCCCTCCTGATCTCTAGTTTCCCATCTGCAACTGACTATTTAGACACCTCTGATGACCCACAAACATCTTAAATCAATATGTCTGAAGCTAAACTCAGTATCCTTTTATCCAATCATTTTTTCCTAAATTCCTCTATTACTGTCAAAGTTTCCACCACTTCTCAGTCCTGCCCCAGCTTGTCATCAGCAACTCCTCATTGTCATTCCTCACAGCACAGGGATTGGCACATAGCAAGCACTAAAGAAATGTTAGTTATTATTATTTCTAGTCACGCAGCATCACAAAAAAGAAGACTGTGATCAAGATAGGTTTTTGTTTCAGGGAAGCGCTTGGGCTCCATGCTGAAAATGGCCACACAATTCCCCAAAGTAATCTGGTGTTCCCTTCCTCCTGCACCATCCTAGATCTGGCTTTCTTTCCTCTTGCATGCAAATTCAAATCCAAGATTTATGTACTGATAAATTGGATCACTGGGCTGTCCATCCAAATGAATTTTAATTTGGACAACAGACTCTCTTTTCATCCATGCGTTTTGAATGATTTGTTAGGTTGAATTCTTTCAAGTGATTATAGATTTCACTTAGAAGTCTCTGAAAAAGTATGTTCTTCCCTTCATTGCAGACATGGGGCACTATGGACTATCAGAAGTGACTGATGAGTTGACTGATTTTGCTGAACCGTTTTTTTCCTCTCTTTTTTGCATCTTTCTTTTAGGCATGGCTTGATGAGGAAGACAAAAAGGAGGAATATATTTGGAGATGAAAATGTAAAAACAAAAGATTAATTAAAATAAGATTAAAATGAAAAAGGTTCTGTAGTATTCCAGGACTTAACAAAAGCAGCAAAAAGCCATCTCCAAAAGGCAGCATTTGGGGAACCTCGCCATCTTCGTATCTTTCATCAATTCTCTCATTGAGGACTCATGACTATTTCCTCTAATTTCAATCTCATTGAGTAACGGAAATTTGGTTGTACCGTTTCCAACTATCACCTAGAGAAAAGTTTTCATTTAACAAAGTTCAATACGCAGTGCTAATTAAACTCATCCAGGTCTTGCCAGCCATTGGCTTATTACCACATTTTTGTTACCTGAAATAATTTCTTCCCTTTGAAGTCACTGTTTTTAATGTAGTATTTTTCTTCCATATGTAGGCCTATTCACAAATAAAACAGAAGCTCTGAGTAGACCCCAGACATAATCCTAGTAAAAGAGTAAGAACTTTCAGATCCACACAGATATGCCAAAAACACTTTCATACTTAATGATGCTCATGAGAAGTTTTGTTTTTGAATAGATGTTGGTATGCTATGACAAGAAATTCCATCTGTGATTTCTGGATAACTTAAGATCATGAAGAAGGTCACTTAAATCTTCTTGAGTTGTTAAACAATGATCAGAGAAGGAATGCTTCCTTCGAAAGAGGATCACCATCTTGCTTTTTTCCTATCTTGTCATGCCATTGACTTCTTCATCGAAATTCCACATTTCTGGTGGTTTCAGCATAGGTAGTTCACTATATAAAACAGTTTTCATGGCTGATGGCAGATCTGGTACATTGTGTTTAAACTTGAAGGTAGCCCCTGATATGTTTCTTAAACAAAAACAATTATCTGTGAATCATTTTATAAATTCTCTCTGAATCTACAAATGACAAGATCCATGCATCCAGTTAGTAATCTAATAAATGAGATACTGCACATGTGAAGCCCAAGCTTTATCCTGACCGCTATTTTATAACCCAAATAATGTTTGCAAGCTTTCTTACCTGCTGAAAAAAAAGTTTAGTTACAGATTTAAAAGTTAGCACATGGCATACTTAAAATTATTCAGATGATCAAAACTTGTGAGACATAATGAAAAAATGTTTTTAGACTGGGTTTCCCATTTCACACAGTCAGGAAGAGCAGGGGCTATTTAAGGACCCAATCCCAACTCTGAAAGTCACAGGAGCTTTCAGCTGATCCAAGTCCAACCTACTGATCAAATAAAAATTTCAGAATGGATTTTTCAAAAAGAAAAGGAATAATGGGCTTACTTTCAGTTATCAAGAAAGTTCAATTCCCACTGGACTTTTTCATTATGAATTTTGATAACTAAGCATCAGTTTAATAACAGGCTAATAGATTAAAAACAGAGAGACAGACTCATAGACACCAAAATGTTTGCAGGATACCTTTTGTGGTAACAAAGAGTTGGAAACAAAGTCAATGCCCATCAATTGGGAAATGATCAAACAGATTGTGGTATATGGATTATTGTACTGTAGAAAATGAGGAATACGAGAAATACAGAGAAGAATAGAAAGATTTATATGTATGACTAATGAAGAATGAAGTAAATAGAGCCAAGAAAACAATATACACAATGAACGATATAAACAGAAAGAACAACCACAAAAAAAGTATCAAAGTTGAATGTTGCAAAACTATAAATAACAAGCAAGGCTTGAAAGAAAGGATATTAAAAGATTCTCCCCCCGCCACCGGGTCCACAAATGTTGTACAATACACATATTTTAATACTTTCTTGATGTACTGATCAGATAGGCTGATTTTTTTCCCTTTTTTTCTTTAATAAATATCGTTATATGGGATGGCTTTCTGGGAGGTGGAGAAAGAGGAATACTGGGCGAATCTAAGGTGACTATAAGGTGGTATGCATGTATGTATCCTATATGATTTACATGAATTTATTTGTAAAATGTCAGGATGGTAACTGTTTGGGTAAAGAGGAGTAGGATGTAACAATAAATCTCACTATCAACTATACATTTTTTGGTTTACAGAAAGACCAAGACTTGTATTCCAAATAGTTTAATGAAAGAATTTATGTTACATAATCCTGTTAAAAAAAAGTTATTTTAAGGACAGTTTTGTATTCTAACCAAGTTAATTAGCAAATTATATGCCAAAAAATATAAAGGAAATATATACTCACAGGTATCATTCAACAACATTTTTGTGGCTAACCCTGGTCAACTTGTTACTGAAACACTAAACCTCAACACCAAGCACAAACTTAGGAAAAGAGCAACTTTTTACTGCTGAGTAGCCTACTGAAGGGAGTAAAGATAAAGTAAAAACTCCGTATGAAACCTTTTTATGAAATGAAGACTTCCCTTTGGTTTTAAATCTTATCCTAAACAAACTGTTCAGGAAACAATGTGTAAGACCAAACAGGCTACTCCTCACAACCAGCACCATCACTTCCTATTTGGAAACTTTAAACACACAGTAAACAGCAAAACTATATATTGCCTTTAAGACCTGGCTCATGAAGATACTATAGCATTCTGCATATAGCGATACAATTCAGGCTTTAACAAAATTTGAAAAGTATCTCTACTAGGAAAAGATACCATTTTTCATGACATCCATCTTTATTCTTTGTTCCGTTCTAAGGGCACAGGATTTTTACTAGCAACAATCATTTCAAAAATATTTCATTATTCAAGTCGTATATAAGGCCCCCCCAAAAAACTATACAGCTCTTTTCTGCTTTATGCATCTTAAGGGCCAGTTTTCTAACAATGGCTAATACTGAAAAGTAACTATACAAGTAACTTCATACAATAAGAGGAAGTAAGTTTTCTCTGTAGCATACAATATTTGGAATGAAATAGATCACAATTAACATGATTTCATTATTTTACTACCAAAAAGGGAGAAAAGATTGTTTATATGAAGATGGGCTTACCTTGAACATAAAAAATGATGAGCAGATAGGCTCCCAAAAATGTGATGCAAATGCTTAGCTGAGTCATCATTCAGTTTTTAATCTTCCCTGTGAACTGTCGCCCTGAGCAATAGGTCTTGTTACTCGATAAATTTTAAGCTCGTCTGTTTGGTGAAATTCTGCCTGCAATAGTTTGATAATTACTCCAACTTCTACTGCTGTTTCCTGCTTCCTGAAAGATAAATGAAAGTAAGGCAGTGAGTAAACTCAAATGCTAAAAAGCTTTCTCAAACCAAGAAAGGAATAAATGCAAAAACATGTTTTAAAAGACTATATAACTGAACCAATGCAAAGATCTCTTTTACTCCTTGAGATAAGCCACTCTGATTCAAGAGCTGCTTTAAAAATGATTTACTAAATCAGATTTTAAAACAATATATACTATTGAAAGCACCTTAGCATTACTGTTTAAGAAAACACATAAGAATCACTCAAAACTGAGTAGGAGTAGCTAGTCTTTGAGTTAACCTTAAGTACAGCCAGATATAGGGTTAGGCTAAGCAGATCTTCAACAATTTCCTCATGTTCTCTTTAAGCTAGCTAGAACCTAACAAGTATTCAACTCAAAAAGATCTTGACTAGTTTCCATAAATGGTGTTACCTAAAAAGGCCAAGTCCATACAAATCATGTCTAATTGGCTTTACCAGCATTTTAAAAATAAAATATTAATCTATCTTAAGAAAATTAAATAAACTGGATCAAACTGTAAGAACACTCTAGAAATTCTTTCTAAGAGTGCTTTTTTTTTTTGGCAAGGCAATTGGGATTAAGTGACTTGCCCAGGGTCATATAGCTATTAAGTGTCTGAGGTCACATTTGAACTCAGGTCCTCCTGACTCCAGGGCCAGTGCTCTATGTACTGCACTTGCTGCCCCCTGCTTTTTTTTTTTTAAGCCATTACTAACAAAGGCAATTTTCATTCTTAAATGTCTGGAAAACAATATAACAACATAGCTAACAAAAACAAAGGCCATTTGCATAGATTCAAGTCCTATCTGTCAGTCTTTCAAAGACTTTTAAGTTGTATCTCATAGCAGAAAGGAGATGGACTAGAGATACAGAATTGGTCAGACCTGACCAATTGTGTTGATGTCTTTTGTCTGACTGTACTTATTAGTGGAGGTAAGGGAGGGCAGAAGGTTAGTGGGTAGTGATAGAAAAATAACACCAACAAAAACATTTTAAAATCACAAAAGAAAATGAAAAAAGTTCAGAATAGGAACACAATAGAGGAGTTTTATATAGGTTGTTAAATTTAATATAAACTTTAAAAAAACAAACTATGTAGCAGAAATTCACAAAATCATATACAACACTGTTAGAGCAAAACATTTTTGTTTGTTTATGACAAGCAGCACAGCAGTTGCTGGCCTGCATTCCTAGTGGAAGTGTCCTCACTAGGAATCTCTTACATCATTTAAACCAAAGGGCCCAGTCCTCTCACCTAATTCTAATTTCCTGGGGTGACTTTTATAAAAATTTGATTCCATAAGATTCACTACTTCTTTTTTTGAAAATTCTGAAATCTGCTATCCCCAAAAATATGTCAGAATATAACCAGGTTTCCTGTGCTTCTCAACCATAAATTCTAAGAAGCTATGGTCACTTTACCCCATGGATCACATAATTTCCAACCCAACAATCAGTTTCTCCTATTTGGTGAAAACTGGATCCATGCCAGAAGTCCCCTCCTTGCTTCCTTCTCTTTTTGAAGAAAGAAATGATCATTGAGGCAAGTCAAGAAATTATTTAATTGCTCTGTTTTGAGTAGAGAGATTGCTCTACCAGGTGTACAGGTAAGTAAACCCCCCCCCCAATTCCTGGCAGTCTGTGAGTGCTTTCCTTAGTTCTTCCAACTGCACTGTTGTTCACAATGTCAACAACGTGGCTTCCTTTCCTACTTCTGTCATCTTTACCCACTGCCTCTTCCCTGCTTGCTGGGTCTCTTCACATGAACTCATCTCCTTACAATGTTACTCTGCTCCCCCCTCCCTCCTCTTAACAGAATCCTATTCTTTTTGAATATACCCTTCCAAAGTCATTTTCTATTTATGTGTCTCATCCCACAAAGTCCCAGGGTCAAACTTACTTCCTTGGGATAGGATGAATCTCTAGTTTACTCTGTCTGTCAGTCGCGTCTTATAACTTTTTTCAATTATGTATAGATAGCGGAAAATGTGAGTTTCACTGCTGGCCCTTTTCTTGCAGTCTGTGTCTTGCAAAGTTCTGGACATCTCTACTGTTATTCTTCATATGATATAACTCTACTCTGTGTTGATGCCAGAGGTGATAAGGAACCAGTGGAGTTCACTTATTGGGGGTAGGAGTGACACAGTCAGATCTGCACTTTGGAAAAAGCAATCTGATAGCTAAGTGGATGATGGATTGGACCGGAAATAGACCTGATGCAGGGAGAGACCAGCCAGAAAGGTGTTACAATCATCCAGACATGAGGTGAGGAGATCCCACATCGGCATAGTGGGAGTGTTAAGAAGAGAGAAGTAGGCATATATGCAAGAGATGTTATGAAGGCAGAACTGATAGGACTTGGCAAGCGACTGGGATGAAAGTAAGGAAGGAGTTCAGGATGACCTGTAGGATCTGAACATGGATGGGACTAGGAAGATGGTGATGACCTGGACAAGTAAGAAGGAAATGAGGAAGAAGGTGGAGTGAGGGAGAAAGATAATAAGTTTATTTGGGAACGTTGAATTTAAATGTCTGTGAAGCATCTGGTTTGAGATGTTTGATAGGCAGTAAGAGATGCAAGAAAGAAATCTGGGCTGGATAAAAAGATGTGAAAATCATTCACATAGAGATGATAACTAAATCCACGGGAGCTGATGAGATCACTAAATGAAATAATACAGAGGGAGAAATGAAGAAAGCCCAGGACACAGCACTGGAGGGATGTCCATGATTAGTGGACTTGGATGAAGACCTAACAAAGGAGCCCAAGAGGTAGCAGTCAGAGAGGTGGGAGGAGAAACAGGAGAGAGCACTGTCAAAAAAAAAATCTTCATCCCGCACTCCCGAGGTTTTCTCAAGCTTTTTCCTGTCTCCTGAAACTTCCCATCCCCCTCCTACCTGGAAGGTCTTAGCAGAATCACTTTGCCTCTCCAGGGCATCTGATCCTGCCACCCCATCAAAGTTTCATTCTGTATCTCTCCTTTTTCACAAAACTCTTACGAAAAGTTGACTACATTTTTTATCTCTAGTTGTTCACCTCCCACTCCCTTTTCAACACTTTTTAATCTGGCTCCTGATCATTCTACTATCGAAACTGCTCTTTCTAAGATGCCAGATAGCCTCTTAGCTGCTAAATCTAATGGACTTTACACTCAGTCCCCATAACCTCCCTGCAGCTTTTCTAACTGCGGGCCAACTCCTTCTCTTACATAGCTTTTTCCCTCTGTATTTCCAGGGTCTTGCTTTCTCCTAGTTTTCTTCTAAAGTAACCTGCTCGGTGTCTCTGGCACCCTTAAGCACAAGGGCCCTCCTCCTAAGGTTGGTCCTATGTGACCATGTGCAAATCACTTAATCTTCAAGCATTAGTTTCCCCATCTATAAAATGAGGGTGTTAATAATTGCTCTGAGAGGGTTATAAGGATTGAGTACAATAGTGTGCAATGACACATTTAACAATGAGCAATATCCAGAATCCTGAAAATCAACCTTTACTCTAGAAATTTTAAAAAAGAATGAAATTCTCTAGAGATTAAGACACATAAAGTCATCCATAAGAAAGTCTCAAAGTAGGGACAGAAATATTTTTTTTTTGTCCAGTTGTTGAAGCTGGTTACAAATTTTAGTTAACAAGAGCTGGGAGAAGAATGTGTTTTAAGAGACAAATTCTAGGGTAAAAGTTAACAGTAATGTTAATACTCTTCATTTTTCTAAAAAGTTTAAAAAGCGGAGGAGGCAAGCTTTTGTGTGCCTTTGTTTCCTTTCTAAAAAATACTGTTTACATGTACAAAAGGAAATTCAGAGACAGGAACAGGCTGTCTGCCAGAGAACTGTTTATAAATTAAAGACCTGTGATAATTTATCTGAACCCTGTCTGACCAGTAATGGAGGTTAAGTGTAAAGAGACCCTCTAACTACAGCCTAAAACTGTCAATGTAAACATCTATAATGGCAGTTAGCTAGTTTAAGGTCAATTTTAAATTCTTTTTGCAAGATAAAGTGAAGATATCTAATTATACAATGTAATTCCTTACTACTGAGCATCAACTTATCTCACCCCCCTCAAAAAATCTGAATGTTACTTTCTAGCAATTGTTTTAAGATACAAACAAAAATGATGATTTTGGCACTGAATTTTCCTTTTTAAAGAGAAGGAAAAATATATCCAAATCATAGCAACATTGGTTTACACTAAAATTTTTAGTGCTGAAAATCTGATTCATTTTATTGTTCAAAAACTAATACCTATGCTGGAATTCCACGAGATGAAATGCAAGTGCACTCCCTCTTCAAATGACTTGTATTCATTTTTGAATATATTGTGTCTATATTTCTGTGTGTACAGGTTGTTTTTCCTGTTAGAAAATAAGCTCCTTGAGGACAGAGAGTATTTTATGTTAATCTTCGTATCTTTAGACCTTAGTACAATGCCTGACACATAGTAGACACTTAAAATGTTTGCTGACTGATTTTAAAATCACAGAATTTTAACTGCTAAAAGAGATCCACAGAATATCATAATCTGACCCCTGATTTGCAGAAGTGTAAAAAGACTGAAAGAGGTTAAGGGACTTGTCTTATTAAGTCCTACTGTGGGTTAGTGGCAGAGAGAGGATTAAAATCCAAGTTACCTGATTCCTTGGTCAGCTATCTTTCTAAACTGATACTATGCTGTTCTTTATTCAAATTCAACTCACTTTATGGGTTGAATTATCTATTTTTGAACTACAGGGAACCTAACTTCCACCAAACCACTTCTGCTGATCTTCCAGGAAAAAAAATGGTAAGTCTTAGAAACTGAGTGGCTGTTGGAGGAGGGATAAAAATAATAAATAGCATTTATATAGTGCCTCAAAGTTTGCAAAGTGCTTTACAAATATTATCTCATTTGATCCTTACAACAATCCCATAAAACAGATGCTACTGTGATTCCTATTTTACAGAT